TGCACTTTTACTTTGGTCCTTCACACACCTAGTAGCCTGCAGGAAAAAGACAATTTATCAATGGTTTCTTTATGTGTCACTGTAACAGAGGGCAGAAATGAAATAGAGTGCTCCTCTGCCACCTGGGAGCATCCTTTACCCAGCAGCATGAAGGCAGCTCGGTAACATCCTCAGAGTGGGTGAAATGCATGAAAACATGAAGAAATAAAGTCATGGTTGTGGCTGGAAAGTAGCCATTAAGGGGCTTTGACTCTGCTGACTGGTGAGTAAAGATACCGTCGATAGTTCCTGTTACTGACTGGTGAATTATTGCATATGTGATCGCCAAAATCCAGTTCCCTTAGCACATTGCTGTATTAAATCTGTTGTTGCTTTCTTCGCTTTATCCCCAAAGAATAAGGGAAAGGTGAATTACTGACTTTCCTGAGCTTGCTATGGTTGCAAATGGAGCTGCAGCTCCTCAGGGTTTCAGCTCGTGAAGCGAAGAGCAGCGGCGGTTTCAGATGGAGCTGTCTCCCACCTGCCTGCCAGAGGTTACTGCTGCCCTAATGGAGTCAGCAACAGAAAGTCAGCTCGAGCTGAGGCACAGGGTGGAGCAGGGAAGACATAGGCACTGAATTATTTCTGCTTCAGACCTTGGGTGGATGTCGGAGCAGCAACGCATGGATGGGGCAGGGCAGGAGCCAGTTGAGAGGCTTCTGCTGGGTTTGTGTAAGCTGCTCTGAAAGAGGCCAGAGGCAATTTTTACACTTCTTGCCCCAAGATTATATTTTGTTGCTCAATAATCTTCAAAACAGGGAGAAAATTAACATTGTATCTTTCCAGTTACCCACGCAAAAGGTCAAATCTTTCTGAGCCTGGTGCTAATTCCATTAGTGATGGGGCTTGGCTTTAGTAAACACAAACTGATACTAAATCAAACAGAGGCTTCTTGCTTAAAAGCTCTTACTGTACTCCAAAGAATCTAAATATCAAAGCTGGCTAAATGAAAACAGCACAATGACCGAGCCATCGTCCCTGCGGTTCTGTCCTTGTTGCATGGGCTGAATGTCAGAAATCATATACTTGAAAGTCGACTTTCTATGTGGGGGAAGAAAACATAATAGACAATAGGGTGCCATGGGACATAATAACACAGACAGGCAGGGTCCTTATGACTCATGTCAAGAAGATCTTTCCTCAGGAGTGGGAGTAATAATCTACAACAAACTATTGTAACCCGATGAATGTTGCAAGTGTCTCTGAGTCTGCGCTAACTTCCTGCAGCAGTGACTTCTCTAACTATGTGATATCACATGTTATTTTGCTCTGTGCCAAGTACATTTAAATGCACCACCTTGACTCCCCTGTACGAGGTTCGTTCAAACTGTTCATTTTTCTCCCCCCTCGCCTCCTGCCCCCTCCCCAGGACTCAGTGACGCCATCTTCACTTCCACAAGAAATGACAGCAGCATTTTGCTTCTTGGAACAATGTTCGGCTTTATCTCCAGGAGACAACAGTAGGTGGTTTACTTTTTGGCATTTCTGTCTCTTTTTGTTACTTTTCTAGGCCATTTGCCAAGGAAAAAAAAAAAAAAAAAAAAAGAATACAGTGCTTTGCATTTCTATATCTTCTTCCACTCGGGGCTCCCAGAACGCTGGACAAACATCCTTTGATTGCAGGCCAGGCTGCTGACAGGCTGACATGGCCTTTTGGGCCCTGTGGAGCAAATGCTCCTGTGCCTTCTCCTGGGATCACCGGGAGGTAGAGGTAGCACAGGCTTGCAGGTGGTGTCTGGGCTGTTCCCCTGCAAAGCACAAAGCCTGAAGCAAGGAGAAAGGCGAGGAGGACAGGCAGGGCCTGTGGCCTGCCTGGAGACCCAGGATTTCCAGATCCACAGCAAGCAATCGAATCTGTGTGCACAGCTAATGGAGATAACACCCGTCCTGCTATCTCATCAGAAGGATGAGTGAGGGGAAGGCCAAGAAATCAGCCAGATGATAGCGTTGCCAGGCGTGGTGCCCTGAGCCCCCTGCATCAGTTGATAAAGGCCTAGGTCACTGGAGGCATCACCACATCCCACTCAGGGACAGGAGCTGATGGTCATGTATTTTTATTGCAGAGGGAACTACCATGGAAAAATCAATGAGCACCATGAGCAATGGGGCTGAACTGAAGCTACTGAGACATCCTGTGGGGGCTTTATAAGAACTCCGACAAAATGGAAGAAATACCCTGACCAGCAGACGTGAGCAGGGATTTGCAGGTACACCCTAGTATTTGTTCATACTCTACAAACACCCACCAGAAATCTTCAAACCTGTTATGGGTCAATACATGATGACCCAGCAAGATATTTTGAGGTGCCAGTTTCTCAGGTTCATCCCTTTCTCTCCATGGCAGCTCTCCAAGAGCCTATTCAGTTATACAAGTGTGACATCTTTTTGCACCGTTGTGCATAATGTCATGCAAGAACCAGCAGGACTCTGGGGAGTGCTTCTCAAGTGGGAGCCATCACCACGTGGGGAGCTTACAGAAGTTGATCTACTCAGCTCATCGAAGAGATGGGTGAGAGGAAACTTGATAGCTGATGTTCCTTCAGAGGGAATTTTCCTCTGCTATCACTGTGTTCTGATATCTAGCAATGATGGAGCAAAATCCAATACGGTGAATGGAAGCACAACTGTATGAAAAATTAAAATATTTTATATGGGTTAAATAATTAAAAAAAAAATCCAGTTTGCATCATGCTGAAGAAAGAGCAATGGCTTTTTGAAATCTTTAAGACCTTGTAAGATGAGGTTGTAGTTTGGCTGAAAGATTTGAGCTGCAGCAAAACTTCCCTGGTGGAGCCCTACAATCCATGGTAACAAATACTGGGATGCCAAAATCACCTTTTGGCTTAAAAGCTGATATAGACTCAATGCTTTACTAAGAGCTCTTAAGAGAGTCACTGTAAAGGGAGTTTAGAAGCACTGCAATCAATATCTAACCTAACAGAATTGTACCCTGAACCTGCTGCCCGTCATGGGCCAGTTGTTACAGTCTCATGTTAAAACTGATGACACTGGGGTGCGGAAGGACTGATTTCCTTAAGAGAAACAAGGGGCAGAGATGGGAACCCAACACTTTTCTCCATTTGCTCCTCAGCTGAATAACCATGATTCCTCTCAAGGAAAAAAATCATGTTGTCTCATTTCCACTTCATGTTATACAGGGGATTCTCACTGACAACCACTCTGAGCAACTTCTCAGTGACCTTCTTAAAGGGATCTGGCAGGAATATTTGACTCATAAGTGATGAATTTTAGACTTCTAGTGAAAGATTTGGAATAATGAAAAAATATCTGCTTACTCTATAATATTCTGACTTATCCTAATGCTTTGCTTTACTGCTAATAAAAACTAAGATTTAATTTATTTTTTATTTTTTTTTAAATAATATCTAAGTCTGATTTTCCAGGCGGTCAAAAAAAAAAACTCATTCTGTGGGTCAAAATTGAAGTGGAGATACCATTCCCAATATCTTTACTGCATTCATGTGGTCACTATGTGCTGCCTCCATATTTTATGGTCTGGCCATGTTTCTTGGATACAGCTTGCTCTGAAAAACAAGAAAGGTTACAATTTACAAGCACGTGAAATTAAATGAAAGCAATGTTACTGTGCAGCTCTTGCAAGATTTTTTTTCAGTAAGCGGAGAGTGCTGGGAAAATGAAGGAAGTTAGTGCTGGGTTATTTTCTATTCCCATTTCATCACCAGTTCAGCCTTTTCACTTTCCATGTGTTGCTACACCCATGTATTGTGATCTTTGGGCATGGGCCCATGTGTGCCTGGTCTTCAGGGTCCCTGAAGCTGTGGCAGTGGCTGCCTTTCACCCAGTGTGCCCATTCATGAGTCAGGCTTGTTGCTGGTGATTCTCAGATGCCCTGAGGTCCTCAGCCATTCAGCAGGGATGTCCCCCAGCCCAGACGGCAGTTTGTAGCTCCCCTGCCTTTATCCCATCTCATCACCAAAACATGCACTGTAACCAAAACCTAGGATGGTGTTCAGTGCATAATGCAGTGGCTCAATCACCGAGAATGACCAGCATACTAAACCCTCTGAAGCTTTCTTGCACACACTGCCTCTGTGTTGATGAGCTGAAAAAAAAATAAAAAAAAAATGTGAGCACTTAGTGGCTCTGGGGGCAAGGGAGTGTGGAGACAGCAGGAGGCATCCTGGCAGCCCAGCCTGCTACCTGGGAGCACCTTTCTCCTGAACATCCCCATCAAAAGGGGGTCCTTGATTATTCTCAGGTTTTCTCTAAGTATGTGGGCATTTTAAATGGCTTCGATGTAAACACAGTTCAGATTTTGCTCAGATTGTATTTGCACCTGCAGCCTAGAAAGTTTTTGTGGTAGACGCTTGACAAACAAAAAGCATCTTCTCAACGTGCCTCTGGCCTCGCAAGCTGCAGTTGTGTGCCATAGATAAACGTGTTGGATGTTGGATCACCATGCACAGGTTCACTGACATTTAATCTTGTTCATTGTGTATTTTAGATATGTCTTAAATGATAAGAGAAAATCCTCAAAACCCACAGTTAAATGTATTGGCTGTTTCCAGGTCTCTGCAAGTTTGGCAATCATTAGATAAAACAGAAGGAATATCTTTATAGACTTCCTCAGGATTTACATTCTGCTTTCCTTTGCAAAGTAAACAGTTAAATTTGTCCTAGCATGTTAGCCTTGTGTACCTTGGGTCCTTAGGGTTATTCAGGTTAGAATAGTGAAGTGGAGAGATAAATCAGGCTGTAAAATGGACTAAGGGTTTCTTTTGTGGCCACTGACATTTAAAAAATTCTTCAGATAAAGGCTACCCACGATAAATATTTGCAAGTTAATGAAAGCCTTGGAAACTTCAGTATGCACATGTAACGTGTAAATATCCAGCATTTCTTCACAGAAATGCAGAGCAGTGAATGTATAGCAGGAAACAATAACCATGGACATGAATGTTTGTAGAGGGAGATGCCTCTTTATATAAAACATGTTTATTTAAAATACATCAAAAATCAGATTTCCAAAGCAAGATTGAACATTAGAATTGTAAATAACTGGAGTCAAATCAAGTTTCCTTAAATATATTTATACACTCCTCATGCATTGTTATTAAGGCACATTGGCACAGTGAATCAGAAACAGAAACAAAAAAAAACAAGTATATTTTTATGCTTTTGTTGCGCCCCAAATCATTCATTAAGGGAAATTACATCCAAATTAGGAGTATATAATAATGAAGACCTGTAATGACTGTTGAGTTTTTATCTTAAGCAATTTTTATTTTTATGAATTACATACTCAGAATAATTCTAAGCTCAAAATCTGTCACAGTACCTTGTTATCTAAGCTTAAACATTGTTTATTTGTTATAAGAGATTTAAATCTTTAAAGCAATTTTGCAGAAATAACCAAAATACATAAGATATTGGCTCATAAACACTTCCTACACTTTAAATATACTCTTGTTTAAATTCTGTTATTAAGCCAGACAACAGAAAGTCATTAATACTAGTTACCTGATTTTAAGTTTTTGTTTTGTTTTGTTGTTGAGTTCTTTTTTAATCTTATATTCTTTCTTAATGACTAGAGGATCAAAAATAAATTTAAGGTTTTAGACTCACCTATTTGATAACATCAACACCATTTGTAAAGAAATGCCTTTTTGAAAAAGAAAACCCTTTAAATATTCTCTTTTATATTCATACCTCATTAAAGTTAATAAGCACTAAAGAAATACAAGTTTAAAAACATTTGAATGAAATGCAATAAAACAGAGATTAAAGTGTATACAGTTAAATATTCTATTTTCAGATGAAATCATGAGATGTCAGTTTACAGAAGCTGCATATTGTACCCATGCCCTGGAAAATAAAGCACCCAAACAGTTGCTATTGTTCCTACCCTAGAAAAATTAAAATCTCGTAATAACATAGGCATGGAAGTTGCCTGTAATTTCACATTTAGGCCTTTGTTTCGAAATGACTTGGGCTCTACGTAAGAGCAAAGTTCATGCAACTGGCAAGGCAAGGCTGCATTATTACATGACTATGACAAGCTGTGCGCACAAAAAAAGGATTCATCCCAACGGGTTGCTTGGCATGGCCAAGGCCACTCCAGAGCTCCAGACCCCTCTGGTAAGTCGCTGCGGCAGCGCCTGCATAAATAAGAGCAGAAAATAAGAAGACTTCATGAACAGAAGACTTTGTTTTGAAAGTAGAGGCGAGATCGATTAGTTACTAATTACTTCTAACTTTCCTGCCCGGCATTCACGAGGCAGATGCCTCAGTGCTGCTGAAGCCAAACTTCTGAGAGGCTTCAGCTCTCCTGGCAGCCAGAAGAGACGAGGTCTTTGTCTTCCTGCGGCAAGGGCAGGCCCACCCGCCCCGCTCATTTCCCTCAACCAGAGCATGGGATGGCTGGGGAAGATCTTCCCAGCCTGGAGCTGAAGTGTGTTGAAGATCTCTATTTTGTGTTTGCAAGAGGCCTACCTCAACAATTTCTGTTTTACCAGCCCATGTCAGAGACTGGCTCGGCCTGGCTGCATGCAGCAGCTCTGGTGCAAGCATTTGTTGAACATGTTATATTCCCCATCTCCAGAGGACTATCTGCTGCACATCAAAGCTCATCCCTTGTGTCTCTGGAGGACAAGAACATGCCCGAGATGCAGTGCCTGCAGGCCCGGGGTACCACTGCCTCTAGTAAGGTGGCAGTACTTCTTCAAGGGTGAAGTGCTCACAAGCAATTCACTGATGGTATCGGCTTCAGAAGGTTGGTTCTTCTGCACATCCATCACATCACTCTCCTTCAGCCATGGGTATCTCTTTCTTTAGCAAAACCTCCCAAGCAGCAAAAAGAGCAGGTCAACTCTCTGTGTCTGTCTGATGGCCCAGAGGAAAGGCATAGAGAAAACAGCACCTGCTCGCATGGATGAGTGGAAAATAGAAATGTTTGGTGGAGATATCTTGCTTTGAAAATTACACCTTTAAGTCTTTGTTAGCATAAGAAAGTCAAAAGTGCCTCAACTTGCTGTCCTGTTTTTAGAAGTTATATGCTGTAGTGCAGAGAACAAGTGGTACTCGCAACCAGGTGGTCTGTATTTCTGTTGTTTGCGGCTGATTACGGAAAAAGCTTTGGCAGTTTCCTTATTTTTTGTCATAGAAAGTAGCTTACAAGGTGTGCATCAGGACTCTCCGTGTGGTAGCAGTGACAAGAGTGTTTTTCCATATTCTCCCATGAAAGCCTTCACCCAGAACCAGAGAGCTCTGGCAAAGGTCTTAATTGCTCAGTGTTGCTTAATTGTTCCTCAGCCTCCCCTGGCCCTTGCAGAATGATGTGCCATGGCCATGTTAAAAAAAGCAGCTCCTCTCTCATCAACATGCTTTGCTGTTCTGCTTTTGGGGTGCGAGCTCTCTCCCTGAATGAAGTGAGCAGCTCCACTGCCTGAATAATCACTTTCATAAATTAATATGGACCACAGCCACGTCCATCTGTGCTGTGATTTCCCCCCGCCGCACATGCCTGGAAGGGCCCTGTACCTCCCGAGTAATTATTTACATTCCACCTATTGCATTCTCCATTGCAGACAACCATCTTTACTCATTTCTCAACTCGATTTACTCCCCGTTGTTTTCTGTGCTAAAAAAAATACTACATGATGGGTGAAAGCCCATGGCAACCCCTGTCTTGCAGCAGTAGGTACTTTCTGCTTTTAACAGTGAATAGTCATAACTCACACAAGAATCTTGGATCAGAGACGTGTGAAAATAGAGATTATTATGGTTTTACAAGCTTTTGTTTTGTTACGGGCAGGTTGGTCCTGGTTGTTTTTCTTAAATAAACTATGCTATTGTTATTATTAATAATAATATCTTAATCTTGCTGTCAGTAGGAGAAGGATGAATGGTAAATTATGGTCTATAACATTGCATCAACGTCTCATCTTCATCAGACAGTTCCCACTATTATAGGAACTCACATAACCACGGCTTAGTGGTTTTTGCAATACCCCAGGTCCCCCTGTTTTGTTGGTGGGCATCATTGGCATCGCTCTTCCATGCAAAGATGAGCCTGAAATCTGCAGGATAGTTTTGGGAAGCACTTTTTGACCTGGGTGATGAGGAGCCAGGAAGGCAGGTATCTTCTCTGGTGTAAGGGTCTGTTACACTGCTGCTAGTGGTGGAAGGACCCAAACAGTCCCCTTGTGTCCCTCGAGATTAGTGGCCCAGGGCTTCTGCAGATGTCAGCCCCAGGTACAGTCAAGATGCAGGCTGTGATCCGGGGCTTCCCTTCCCTTCAAGGAAGAGGTGAGAGATGCTGTGAAACAGTAAAAACAAAGGAGAAAAGGGAGAGAGAGGCAAAAAATACAGAAATGGAGGAAGGAGATGGCTAAGGCTAGGCATGGTACTTCCAAGTGGAGATGTTGCCCTTTTCATGCTCCTTTGCTGGATTTTCCCTCGCTGCTAAGTAACACAGGTGGCTCTTAGAGGAGAGGGATGCACCAGCCACACTGACAGTCCAGGCTACTCTGCGTGCTAAACAACTGGAAACAAAGAAAATTGCCTAAAATTCATCAGCACAGGGCCTATCCAAATCCCAATGACTTCAGTGAGAATGAGACTGAGCCCCAGAATCCCCTGGCAGATTAGATACTCCCATGCTCCCAAGCTTATTTAGAGAATTATCTCTTGGTAGAAAAATAAATAAAGGCATTGCTGGCAGCTCATGTGGAGCTGGGGACCAACTCCTGCAGCAGTGGGCACAAATTGCCCCCTTCCCCTGCCACTTTCTTCTTTAGGGAATAACTGCTGGCTGCTCTAGGCAGCCCCCAAGCTCCCATGGATGCTGACCAAGGAAGATGTGAGTCCACATGTTTTTGGGCAGTGCAAGCCCCTCATGAACTCTGGCACAGCCCGAGTCGATGGTGAGAGCCAGGCAGAAGGAAGCGGGAGCACGCCGGGGCCAATGCATCCCAGGGGCAGCAGTTTTGGAGTGAGCCTGCACAGCCTATGCCTGCATGAGACTTTGGCACGAGGAAATGATGCGAGCCCATCACTTTTACAAGCAGTGAAATTTATGGAGGAGGCACAGATGTTAAAAAAAAATCCAAAACAAACAAATACCCATAGCTGAAAAATAAATAAGCCAGCAAAAAAGGAAGACTGGGAGCCAGAGTGACGAGGAGCTCAGTTTCCAAGGCAGTGGCCCGGGACGGCCGCCAGCTGGAGCGGCGGGGAGAGCTGGATGTCCCCTGCACTGGAGCCTCTTCTGGTGCCTTCATGGAGGAGCGTGTCACCGTGCCTCTCCCCATCCACGCCAATGAGGGACATGGCCTGGCTCCATCCACGACGTGAGATGAGACGGGAAAACCGCAGCAAAGTTTTTGCTGGTGGCGGTGAACTCGGGCTCGGTGAGGAGCCAGCGGTAGAGGCAGGTCCGGCAGATGGCGAGGATGTCCCCCGGGCCACCGTGCGGGCTCTCCATCAGCTGCGTGGGAGGTGGGCCAGCCCAGCAGCCTGCACGGGCGTGGGGCAGCTGCCATGTGGCTCGCGCCTCCGTGGAGGGAGCCTTTCCCTCTGGCACCGAAACAAATCCAGGAGGGAGCCCCTAGCCCGTGCCAGTTTTGCACTTCAAAAAATGCTGGCAGGTAGGCTCTCCTTTCTGGTTATATCATGTCACCAACGCTCACCCGCGCTGTCTCTGGGCACCGGTGGGGATCCAGCAGCAGTGTGGTGGATGCTTTATACACTGGGAGGTTTGCTCCCATCTCCTGGATGCTGCGGTCCCTCTGCCAGCCCTGCTCTGTTAAAAATGTATGTTTCTATGAATTATTCTCACCAGTGTTTCGCGTTCAGCTGCTCTTTCCCTGTGTGGCCCCCGCTGGGTTTGCTCCTCTTCCTGGGCACACACTCCTGGGGGGCTGACATCCCCCTGTGTGTGTAATTTTGGAGATGGGGAGAAGGTTTAAGGTTTAATTATTTTCCTCAGCAGTGGGTGCAGCAGTGGGAAGGGCTGTGGCAGAAGGGCAGGGGCTGGGGAGGAGGTGTAGGAGAAGAAGAGCTGGGGTGAGCACACAGGGACTGGGACAGGGACAGAGGGATGGGGCGAAAGGACAGGGGCTGGAGCAGAGGGACAGGGAGCGGGGCTGAGGGACGGGGCTGGAGGCAAAGAGACAAGGGCTGGGGCAGCGGGACAGGGACACGGGAGCAGGGGCAGGGACTCAGGTGCTGGGGAGGGGAGCAGGGGCAGGGACCGGGGCGGGGACCCAGGGGCAGGGACCCGGAGCAGACAAAGGGCGGGCGGCAGAGCCCTGCTCGCATCCCGCAGCCCCGCACCCGAGCGAGGAGCGGGAGGCGGAGGAGGAGGAAAAAAAAAAAAAAAAAAAAGAGGAGGAGGAGGAGAAGAAGGAGGTGGAGGAGGAGGAGGGACCTTCCCCTCCCTCCCACCCCGCCACCGGGGGAAATAAATTATTCCCAGCCCTCTCGCTCCCAGCTCCGTGCCCCGCACCCCGGCAGCGGCAGGCGGGGACAGCGGGGCCAGCGCAGCCTTCGGCGGGCGCGGAGGGGCCGCCCTTGGCCGCGGAGAGCCGCGGGGCCACCCCGTCCATCCCACCCCGTCCCGTCCCGTCCCGTCCCGTCCCGTGCCACCTTCTCCCGTGCCGTCCCGTGCCGTCCGTCCCGTGCCGTCCCCGCGGAGCGGCGCGGAGCAGCGCGGTGGCCCCGCCGCGCCCTGGATGCCCGAGCGGCGCCGGCGGCAGCAGCATGGAGCGGCGGCGGGGGGTCCCCGGGGGCTGGCCCTGCCTGCTGCTGGCCGCCCTGGGCACCCTGCTGGCGGCCGGCCGGGCTGCCGCCCCCCCCCGGGCCCGCTTCTCGCCCTTCTTCTTCCTCTGCACCCACCACGGCGAGCTGGAGGGGGACGGCGAGCAGGGCGAGGTGCTCATCGCCCTCCACATCGCCGGCAACCCCGCCGCCTACGTGCCCGGCCACGAGTACCACGGTAGGTGGTGGGGAAGCCCCCCACTGTGGGGTAGGGGTGGGAGGGGGGGCGTCCCGGCTGCGGACACGAGTTTAGGGGGAGGATAACAACAAAAAATATATATATATATCCAGGTAGCTTTTTGCAAGCAGCCTGGAGCGGGAGAGGAGGGTCCGTGGGGTGTGCGGGGCTGGAGGCGCAAGGATGCTCCCCCCGGGCAGCCCCGCGTGGGCGAGCAGGGGGCTGCGCCGCTCGCAGCTTTCTCGTCACCTCCCCGCGCGGAAAACTTTGTGGCAAAGGGGTTTGGTTCAGGGGAGAGTGCTCCGAGGTGCAGTCCTGCTTCTTCTTCCCCCCCCCGCGCCTGCTTTAGGGTTTGCGGCGCTGCACAATGAGCGCGAAGTTGCGGTGAGCATTCAGAAGTCAGGAAAAAAGAAATGTAGGTCTGTATTTCAGGCGCCTCGCTCGGAAAAAGATGCCGTGTGCTAGCCCCTGATTAAAGCTGGAGTAAAACTCCCGACTGTGACATATTCCAGCCCAGAACTGAAGTCCTAAGTAAATCGCAGGACTTCAGAGTTACGCGGCCGCTCCGACGGGTTTCTTTTTGTTGCGCACAGAGCACCACCACCAAACGTTCATTTGCACAAGACCTGAAGTTTTTCCCTCTGCACAGCCTTTAACAACGCACTTCTTCCTAAACCCATGCGAAACTTTGGCTTTTAAAGTACTGGTGCCCTTTTTACCTCCCCGCATACATCAATTACATCATGCTCGGTTTTTTCTTTGGCGCCCCGCATCTTCCAGCCCGTAACACGCCCTCGGACCGCTTCAATTGCATTCAACCTGCTGAGCCTTAATTCTACTGGGGTGGGGGGTGGGAAGGAAAAAAAAAAAAAAAAAGGCTAGAATTTCCCTCTTGACAATGCCAGACTCTGGAGGTTTTGCAGCGCGGCTCAGGCTCCTGAACAACGCTTTTTGCAGCGGTTTGCAAGCGAGGAGCCCCCTGGGGGACCCGGGGGGCGGGGGGGGGCGCGGTGCCGCTGCGGGGAGGCTCCCGCTGGGACTGCGGGCGGCAGTGGTGAGGAGCGGGGTTTGGTGGTGAGACGGCCCCGAGGAGCGCCGGCTCCTGCAGGTGGGCAGGGGAGGGTTTCCCCCCGCTGGTTTGCATCGGAGCCACCTCCTCGGCTCCTTTTTCAGCCGCTCCCGGCTGTCGCGGGGTGTCCCGAGCTGTGCGGGAGCTGCTGCTACTGCTGCTGCTGCTGCTGCTGCTGCTGCTGGTTGTGGTGGTGGTGTTGATGAAGATGATGATGATGATGCCGGGTCGTGCGTGCCCAGAAGAAAGTGCAGAGGCTGAACTTGGCAGCTAACTTGTGCCTACAAGTTGAAGCTATGCCCCGACGTGAGCCAGCCTCACTCCCTGCTCATAGCTTGCAACGCTATATATATATATATATTTTTTTTTCTCCTATTCTGTGCATCGATTAAACACCTAAGTGTGCTAAAGCAAGGCAAGAAGCACCCCTTGCTTGCTGTGCTCGGCGCAATAGACATATCCTTCAGCCAAGCGCCCTTAGTTAGATATTTTGAAATATCTCGTTTGAGTATTTCAAAATTAAAAAATTCTCAGTGTTAAATACAGCACGAGGAAAAGAAGTTTACGACCTGAAGAAATAATTTGAAGCAATCTGGGCTTTTATGTAGTTCAGTTTAATGATAATGGCAAGTGCCAGTGCGCACGGCAGCATTTATCATTTAAAAATCAAACTTTAAAGGTGGTCTTGTGCAAACAGAGAGGTGGAGTTTTGAATGCAGTACAGAAACACAGGGCAAAGCCGGATTTGTAAATGTGCAAATGCCAATTCACCTGTGCAGAGAGGACATTGAGACACAGTGCTCTGACTCTTTGCAAGGTCCAGGGAGGCTCTGGTTTGCACGCTGTCTCTGCTCCGCAGTCCCAGTGGCAGGGGACAGCAGCACCCAGGAGCATCAAATTCAAAGATGAGTGAATCGGGTGAAGCCATATGTCAAGGTCTGGAAGAGAAGAAATAGTGACAAACAAACAAACCAAAAAACCACCCACCCACCCGAAAAAAAAAAAAAAAAAGAAAAGGCAGCTAACAACTTTCTGCTAATTTGTTTACACGCTCCTTTGGGTCCTCAGGGTGGGAGTGAAGCCACCGTGCAGCCAGCAGAGCTGTGACACTGGCTCACATCCATCTGCCCAACTGTCCCTTGTGCTGCCTGTGCCCTGGGAGAGGAAAGGGCTCTGCTGGGGAAGATGGGGCATCAGGCAAGCACCAGGGCTTCTGCAAGTGATTTATCCGACACACTGGATCCAGCACTTTATTTCTCCATGCCTCTGAACTTCACAATTAAAATTAAGGCAATGATATTCCCTACTTTGCATAGGTAAATTGGATACTTTGGTGTTCAGTGCTTCATCCCCAGCCCTTAAAAAGGCTCCCAATTTGGCCCTATTCCTGCAATCAGTAAATATTTAAAAATGCATTGACTGATTGAATAGGAACAGAACTACGCCGCACATAAATATGCTCTTTTGTATACAGGGCTGATTTGATAAATTGGTAAACAGTTTTATTACCTTTGGCAGACTTTTATTCCTTGAATTAGCTTATATTAAATTTAATTAAGTCCTTGAGCTGGCAAAGCACTTATGCACTTGCTCAAATCCAAACTGACAAAGTGTGCACTTGTTTAACATAGGCACCTGCTCAGCTTCCTTCAAGCCAAGTGTGCTTAAGAGCTGGGCTGCATCAAGGCTTGCTCGGAGATTTGCTGTTAAATAGGAGTGCTCCTATTTTCTTTCTCCCCTGGGTTTTCCACAGTAATCTACAAAGCAGAATACAATTTCTTCAAGATTAAAAAAAAAAAAAAAGTACAAATTGAAATTTTTTATACAAGTTCTTTTGGATTTATTTCCAATCTGCGGTCAATTTTGGTCATTCATGACAGTTTGCCTACAGTGCTGGGAGTGTGTCCTATGATTTGCAGGCAGATAAGTACGTTGGAATTGCATAAAGAAACTAAAGCATGACTGAAAATTGAATTTTCACTATCCTTAATCCCAGAAATTTAAAAAATGAACTCTCAGATTTGTAGTATTAAAAAAAAAAAGGGGGGGGGGGAGAGGGGAGGATCCTTTACACTTTATTTTTTCTTATCCCTCAAAAAAAAAAAAAAAGGCTTTGTTGTCACTCCAAACAGTGCCCTTTTCCCAAGGTTTCATATTTAGAACTTTTAAGAACAACTTTGAACTGGCTTCCCATGATTGCTGTTAAAACTCATAATTCTACCCTTAAAATAGTTTCCTTTAATGAGACTTGAGTTTCTATTTCACTCTCCATTGTTCCTTTTTTTTTTTTTTTTTTTTCCCAGAACTGATTAACCTTCAGTCCCCAAATGTTATCAGTTTCCATCAATGACTGTTACTATTCTTAGATATACTGTATATTGTCTGGAACCACTGCTTTGATAGGTTGTAAAAAAATGTTTTCAACTATTTTAAGTGGTAGTTATGCACTCTTTCAGCACTGATAAAAAAGTTGTTCAAAGTCTGGCCAAGTCCACCTTTGTTACTTAGCCACTGTATTTAAATAGAGATTGTGACTTAGTACCTGTTTTCATTAGGGTTACTTACATTTTTGGTACCAGGCTGATCTGCTGGATATTTTTATTGTTGATTCTGATTGTTCATATTAATAAAAAATAAAAAACCTGTGTTGGAATCTGAGATGAAGGAAGGGGTAAGAGAAAAAATAACTGGGGAGTAAGAAGTGATACTGCTTGAGGTATGGAGAAACAGGGTTATAAGAGAGTTGCTGAGACTTGGTGACGGCATCTTCTCTGTCAGTTATGCCAAAGTGTAGAGAGGTTTTTGTGAGAGAGCAGAAGTAAAAAGTGCAGAGAATGTGATGTTAATGATGGTGCATGGGTATGAGAAGAGCAGGTTTTTATCCATGTTTTCCAGCATCATTCTGAGAACTATGTCAGCTTTTTGAATCTTTTGCAGGATATTCTCTCAAAAGCATTTTTCTCATCTACTTATACCCTGCTCAGATATTTGGAAGAATGGAGACAGGCATAATTTTTTTGTTTTAAATTGCAGGAACATGTAGAAAGTTTTGCTCATGGGAGTCCAATTAGCTCCTGGGATTTATTCTGTAACTCTTAAAGAACTTTTAAATTAAAAACATGATGATGGCAATAAGTAACAATGGCAAGAGATTTATTAAGAGTGGGGGATACCCTTGATCTTCATGACTCTTCTTTCCTGTCAGGTCTTTAGCAGCATCCTGCAGCGACATAAATGTTTCATAGCACATTGACACTTTCTTCTGGGGCCAGCATTTACATAAAGTCCTCATCCACCAGTGCCCGCAGAGCTTGTCCTGGCTATGCTACGCTGTGGT